CAGCCACGGCCCCCGCCCCGCCCCTGCCAGGGTGGGCCAAGCAGGCTCATCTGGCTGGCCTGGCCTTGCACTGAGGTTTCCCCAGGGAGGTCCCCCAGGAGGAGGGTGTGTGTTGGGGGGTTTGAGTGTCCGGGGGGTCCCATGTCCGAAGGGCTGGGTCCTGGGGACTGCGGGAGGCGGGCAGTGACTCTGAGGGCTGGGCCGGGGCAGAGGCTGACTGTGCAGGCCCCACAGGAGGAAGGAGCTCTGGTCATCGAGGGGCTCCTCAACATCGCCTGGGGGCTGAGGCGGCCCATCCGCCTCCAGATGCAGGACGACCGGGAGCCGGCGCCTCTCCTCGGCCGCTTGGACGCCGGGCAGCCCAGCTGCCGCCTGTGAGTGCTGGACTCGGGTGGCTGGGTGGCCTCCGTGGCAACCTGAGCTTACTGCTTGGGGTGTTGGTGGGGGGTCCTGGGCCTCAGGGCAAAGCCCGCTCCTGTAGGGGCACAATAGTTGGGCTCAGCCCTGTAACCTCGTGACAGCGTCAGCCCACAGCCTCCCCTGCCCGCGGCAGCCTCGCCCCCGGGGGGTCTCTCTAGATGGCAGCCGAGGCTCTGCCCTCCTGAGACTGTCCCAGGGTCCATCCCGCCAGTTGTGTTTCTCAAACATCCACATGAGCCACCTGGTCTGCAAAGAGAGGGCTGTAGATTTCACCTGCTACTGCTCTGCTTTTATTTTAATATCAGAATTTATGTTTATAAATTTATCAACATTTAATATCATCAGTTCCCCCTTCAAATATTCAAAACAAGTCGCTGCTGCGAGGACCCTCAGCACCTTGACCCACTGGCGCACCCACAGGTGCGCCCAGTCACACATAGCAAATTCGGAGCAGCACAGGCTTAGCACGGAGCTCATTCAGATGGGCTTCCCACTCCCTGGGGCTTGTACGGCCACGTGCGCAGTTAGAGGGCTAGTTCCCATCGTGCCTGTTCCTTCGCCAGCCCAGAGGCCCAGGGGTCGGCCCCCTGAAGGTTGCCCTGCCCGGCTCTCCCCAGGCCTGAGGGATGCCGGAGCCCACGTGGCACGGGGCAGCAGACTCGGCCCGCCTCTGCCTGGTGGCCGGTGCCCACGAGCACCGCGGTGTCCCCGTGTCCTGCAGTGGCAAAGCAGAGCCTCGGGGTCCTCGGAGCAGACCCCCTCTTTGCACAGCAGACGCTTGGCCATACTGTGTTTTTCTTTCAATATTTACGCTGACTCTGGTGTGAAATCCCAGCCTCCCCTCGGCCTGTCCGGGGTCTGGCCTGTGTGCCGTCCACACAGGCAGCTGTCCTCCTAGGTTACTCTTCTCTGCCACATCGTGCTCATATCCTTCCAGAAAGGAGCCGCTCCTGCAGGGTGGCACTGCCCAGCAGCCAGGCCCTCAGCCCTCCGAGCACAGGCCTGAGAGTGCCAGCGACAGCTCAGGTAAGCGGCCCAGCGGCCGGGGCCTGCGCTCAGCCTGGTGGGAGGGGGCTTGGCCTGGGGCCCTGCCTCTGAGAGCAGCTCCGGGGAGTCACGAGGAGCCCCACTTGCCCTCAGGAGCAACACAGGGTCCTCGCTGACTCCTCACGCAACAGGAAGGGAGCAGGGGTGACGTGGTTTGTCGGTGACCGGCCCCCTTGCGTGCAGTGTTATAGGAAGAGGGAACAGTTCGCAGAGGGCCTGGCGCCCTCCTGGCCACACAGGCCGGGGCCTCGTCCTCACACTTGGGGTCCATAACTGCCCCCCTGGCCTCCGTGCCCCCCCCATACCCAGTGAGGGACCTGTTCAGAGCAGGGGCTGAGCTGCCGAAGACCTACCCTGGGTGCCCGGAGACCAGGCCCACAGCTGCGGCGCGGTGATGTGGTCGCAGAGGTGGTCCTATCTGGGGGTCACCTTTCCTGCCGGGACCCGCCTCCACACAGGGACAGCGTCACAGCATGTCACTGGTGCTCCGCCTGGGCCTGACCCCGCCTCCCTGCCCACTGCAGGACCCCTGGAGGAGGACGAGGAGACCCCACAGCTGATGCGCACCAAGAGCGACGCGGCCTGTGTGATCCAGAGGCGGCCCAGGTGCCGCACACCTGGCGAGACCCAGAGGACCCGGCGACACCGCTTCTCCATCAACGGGCACTTTTACAACCACAAGGTGACGTCCCGGCCTCGCCGCTGCCCAGGGCCCTGACGTGACCACAACCAACCCCAAGCACAGGCGAAACCCCTGGGCCCGCCCCACGCCAGGCAGGATGGCCACGTCAGTACCCGCTCCACCTCCCTGTGTGCAGGTGGCCATGCAGGGGGAGAAGCGGGGTCAGGGCAAGCCCAGCATCCCTCAAAATACCGTCCCAGGTCCTGACCCCGAAGCCTGTATTTTTCACCACAGACTCTGTCCATCCCCTCTCACGCCGCGTGGACGTGGGGCAAGTCTGTCTGTGGTCTATGCAGGTCTGCGTTGGGCAGTGTTCCCTGAGGTTCATCGGGGCTCAGTGTCCTGGGGACCATGCACCTTGCTGGCACTTTGCAGGGCGAGTGAGCCGGCAAGGCCAAGGTGTGCCGGGCACGTGCGGCTGCGTCAGAGAACGCGCTGCCCCTGGTTCCGGCACACAGCCTTTGTCCCAGCGTGTATTGTACCAAGCTCAGGGAGTGACATCATCAAACACACTGAACGGCCAGAGGAGAAGCCGGTCGTTACTGAAAAGGGCACGAGTGGCAGTTTGAGGCCTGGATGGAGTGGCCTGTGACAGGCACGCCCTGGGAATGGAGCAGGGGCTTCCAGTTCGAGCAGCAGCCCAGGAGCCAGTGGGAGGGGAGGGAGGTCCCGGGGTCAGAGCGGCAGAGCAGCAGCTCGGGCGAGGCCTGCCCGGAGCCATTCAGGCCACGCCGGGGGCGGCCTGGCCTTCAGGGTGAGGACGTCAGCAAGGCAAGCCGACCGGACCCTGCTCCCCTGCTCGGCTGTCGGGACCTCCCAGCGCCCCCCGCCCTCCCGCTAGGATGCAGCGAGGGTTGAGGGGCAGCGGGCCAGCTTTGCTCCGCCCAGGAAGACCCAGGATGGCTTGAGGGTGCCGTTTCCTGGAGGAGTGAGCGGACCGGACTGAGCGGAAGGAGAGATGAAGAATGGGTTAGCTGCCCAGGCACTGCATGCAGGGAGGCCTTCTCAGGACTCGGGTGTTCTTTACGTCTCTTCCCCTCGCAGCAGCCGGGCTCCTCTCTGTATCCCACACTTCCTGGGGACCGAAGGCCTAGGCTGCTTCTGTAGTCCAGAGTCGTTCCACACTTTCTCTGTGGACAAGGCAAGTCCAGGCTGAGCCTGGCTCTGGGACTGGGACCAGCTGGGGACACACCGCAAGTCCCAGTTACCTCCCCAGGAAAGCTGAGCGAGGGCCAGACAGGACGTACGCATCTGAATCTGGGAGTGGGGCGTCCAGGAGTGGGGTCACGGGAGGCCCTGGTGCCAAGGGGGTGAGCATGGGGCTAGCTCAGAGCACGCTTTGTGAGGCAGCATTTTGGAAAGGTTATTCCTGGGCACCGGTATGTGGAATAATCGAAAGGGCCGAGCCTGGAAGGGGAAAGCGGGAAGCTAGGGCACCACTGGGAGAGTGGACTCGAGAACTCTGCCTTAGAATCAGCAAACGCCCGGTACACTGATGGATAGAGCGAGGAGGGAGAGGCCGGTCCCCGTCCCTTGTGAGTTACTCAGCCCACTGGTTCTGAGGAGCAGAGGCTGCCTGGTAGCTCTGCAGGCGTCTTCCTCAGTCAGACGTGAACTGTCCCAGCCTCCCTGCGTGTGCCCAGGCATGGGCACGGCTGGTACGTGGGTCTGTGTGTGAGATCAGGCGCCGGTGTTCCCAGAGCCCCGTCCACCTGCTGCTCCGCGCTCCTCAGCACGTGGCGGACAGTGAACCCAGGCCCTGAGCATGCCGGCCCAGTCCCCGGCCCTGCCTTGACCTCCCCCTCCCTGTGCAGACCTCCGTGTTCACGCCTGCGTATGGGTCTGTGACCAACGTGAGGGTCAACAGCACCATGACCACCCTGCAGGTGCTCAGCCTGCTGCTCAGCAAGTTCCGGGTAAGTCTGGCGCGAGCGCCTGGTCCCGAGCGGGTGGTCTTCCAGGGGTTGGCGACAGGGGGTGGGGGGGTGTCTGTGGCCCTGGTAGAAGGTCTAGCAAGGTTTTCTCTGCTGAGCTGGGCTCTGGTTTGGAAGCAGAGATGGTGGGGCGGGTGGGGCGGGTGTGTGGGATCTATGTGTGTGGCCCCGGGGTGTGGTTGCTGCCAGGAGTTCCTCTGTCCCTGGTCTTGGAAGCCGGGTCTGACTTCAGTCCCTGCCGCTGCAGGTGGAGAACGGCCCCAGTGAGTTCGCACTCTACGTTGTTCACGAGTCGGGGGGTGAGTGCCGGCCTTTGCCCTGATCATAAAAACAAAAGACGGGCTCCCACCTCGTTCCTTCTCGGGGGGCTGTGCTGGCTTGTGTGGCAGGCACAGGGCAACCTGCCCTCCTGGCCTTGGGACCCACTGTGCCTGCACCCCAAAGCCTCTCCCAGCCCGACCAGGGTACAGGTGTCCCTTTGAGAATCCCCACTTCCCCCCGTGGGAAGCTTCCATCCTGGCTCACTTACTGGGAGGGCTGGGGAGGGTGACCGGGGTCTGTGAGCTGGAGTGAAGCCCTCAGCCCTGAGCAGTGCAGTGGCCGAGCCTGCATCCTCTCGCAGCCCCTGCCCAGCACCGGAAGGCGACTATGGGCCCAGCCTCCCGGGTCCGCTTTCCTCCCCGCTCCCCTCCCTGGACGGTCCCTGCCCAAGTGGGTCTTTGTGAATGACATGGTCACAGACACTCAGGGCCATGGTCTCAGCCAGGCCTGGAGAAGGGCCCCTGCGGCCCCTGACGGCTGTCGTCCATCCGGGAACAAGGCGCTCCTCATGCCCCCTGAATTTTGTAAACCACCTTTCTTTTCAGAGCGGACAAAATTAAAAGACTGTGAGTACCCGCTGATTTCCAGAGTCCTGCACGGGCCCAGTGAGAAAATTGCCAGGATATTCCTGATGGAAGCCGACCTGGGCGAGGAGGTGCCCCATGACGTGAGTGGGGCCGCGGCTTGGGAGGCCTGCTCCTGAGGGGCGGCTGGCGGACAGCGTGGGGACTCTCAGGGCTCCAAAGGTGTCCTTGGCCGCAGCCCTCTTGGACGTGGTCTCCAGGGACTGAGTGGCTGTCCCGAAGGGCCCCACGCGAGGGCGATGATGGCTCCACCTCCACCCCCACCCCTCTGTGCCACCACCAGTGCCATGGGCTGCCTCGGGGAGACGTTGGTTCCAGGAAGCCACTGCCTGTGCTTTCCCCGGCAGGTGGAACCTTTTCCTTCACTGCAGTGTTCCGTTGTCACCGCACTAAAGGTCCACACAGGGTTTCTGAGCGAGGGCCTGGCTGGGCCTGTGGACAGGCAGCTAAGTCCACAGGCATCTAAGTCCACAGGCCAGCACAGTTTCATGCCACTGTATGAAACATTGTGTCCCCACCTGCACCCCAGACAGCACCCCGTGCGCCTCCGATCACTGTCTAATGCTTTTCCCAATACTTGGCTTAATCTTTCCTCCCAGGGAGAGTAGCTGCCTTTGAGGAAAGGTCCCCCGCCCACCCTGGAGCACACAGAGCAGTGCTGGGGGTGGGAGGAGGGCAGCCACCTCCATGGGCGTAAGACGTTGCTGAATTGGACCTATGGAAACCCTGAGGGAAAGAAAACGTTTCTGGCTTAAACATCGGTGCACAATAAAATGTTCTTGGATTTTCTAGGTTGCTCAGTACATTAAGTTTGAAATGCCGGTGCTGGACAGTTTTATTGAAAAATTAAAAGAAGAGGAGCAAAGAGAAATAATCAAACTGACCATGAAGTAAGCAGCACTTAAAGGGCCAGTCGTGGGTCCTTATCATCAGGCAAGCCTGCAGGGTAGAGCATCCAGGGCCAGTGCTTAACGGGCCAGTCCTGGGCCCTGTCCATCAGGCAAGCCTGCAGGGTAGAGCAGCAGGACCAGGGCTGGGAGAGCTCTCTCCTCCAGACGTGCCAACTGCCCTCGCACGGCTCAGGGAAGCCTGCCAACCCTGGCTTTCCAGCCAGGCCCTCTGGCCCCCTGCTTGGCATTGATACCAAGTTGGGTGGCAACTTGCCAAAATAGCAGGAGGCAGCCCACACCCCCATCCAGCACCTCACCAGATGGGAGGGACACAAGCTGCTGAAAACCAGGCAGCAGAGTCAGGCAGGAGCATGGGTGGACCCTGGACCAGGGCTGGGAGTTCTGCCGCTGATCCAGCTCTGCGCACGGTCAGCCTGCTCGGGGCTTTCATGCCAATGGGAGTCTGAGCCTGTGAAAGGGGTGGTTGTTATAACTCAGGTGCAGGGGACCAGTTTAGTGGAAAGGTGAGCAGGTGTCACCTGGCAGCTCCTGGGGAAGCTACACAGGGTCCAGCTGTGTGAGGTTAGCCAGGTTACATGTCCCTCTGCAGAGTCAAGCATGGAGAGGACACGTGTGAGGTGCCATGCCAGGGCCGGAAACAGTCCCTCTTAGAAAGAGTGGGGGGGCGGGGGGAGGTACTGCTCACTGCTAGGGCCTGAAGTTGAGGACTGGCTAGGATTCTGGCTGAATGATCCGTGGAAGCCACCCCCGCCCCCGCCTCTCTCCCCCACACTTCCATCTGTGCAGCTGAGCCCCATGTGGGCAGTCAGCAGGGTCACTGAAGGATTTAGGACCTGAAAAGGCCCTGGGGCCACCCGGTCATCTTTTCAGGGTGCAGAGAGGAAACAGGCCCAAGGTGAGGAAGCTTGCAGCACAGGTGACTGCAGAGCCCCGGCTTGAACCCAGGGCTCCGATCCTGGCTCTGTGCTCTGTCCACTCCAGCACGCGCCTGTCCATACCGGACAGTCTTTGGAATGGAAATGGCAGCATGTAGCTGTGAGGCTGGCAGCGTGTGCAGCCCTGTTTGCCTGCCTCTGGCAGCCCGTGGTCCCACAGGGTGTACGCCTGGCTCTTCCCTCCTGGCAGAAGGCAGGCGGTGGCACTAATCAGCCACTCAGGAACCCTGTGTCTCCTGGCCCAGGCATCTGCAGCTCCCCCGCTCTGCTCCCCTCCCCCGCCCCGTCCCTTGCAGTGTCAGTGAGTCTGCTTGGCTGTGTCTCCCTCCAGGTTCCAAGCCCTGCGTCTGACGATGCTGCAGCGCCTGGAGCAGCTGGTGGAGGCCAAGTAGCCAGCCAGAGCCCGCCTCTTCCGAAGCCACCAGCAGCCAATGCACACCCAGTGCCTGCGAGCGGGCCCTGACTGGCGGCCCCACCTGAGGAATCAGCACCTGTCTACCTGCCTAAGTACCACGAATCCCACATCCCTGGTTCTTATCTCCAAGGTGAGCACTCGCAGGACCCAGACGCTGGCCTGAGTAGCAGGAACTTGCTGGTGGGGTTTCCTGCTGGTTCAGTGGGAGCTGCGTGAAAGGCTGCTCTGGGCATTGAACAGCCCTGGCGCTGACACCTGCCACTGGATGGCGGGGCTAGTCCTGTTCACGCCACACCTCCTGCTTAGGAGAGCAGTGCCTACCCACGCCCCGGGAGCTGGCTCAGCCCCGCAGGGCCCAGCCCCGTCCTCTGCGTCCACGTGAGCCACCTTGTGCTGCGCTCAGGAGCTCTGCTGGGAAGGCAGGGCTGCCTGCAGGGTGGAATGTGCCTACTCCCAGCATCACTTCACCGTGGCGTCCCTGGCTCCTGGCCTCCAAACATCTGATGTCACTCCGTGAGCCTCATACAGCCCGATGCGCTGGAGGCAGAGGCCAGACAGGAGTAAGACCACAAGCACCTCTTCTCTCTGCAGCACTAACTCTAAACTTCCTCCGCAAGACCTGAAGGAATTCTTGTAAGGAACTCACTGAGGAGGTGGCCCACATGGTGTTGGATGTACGACACCTTGTGGGAGAAATGTCAGCCTGCGGAGAAAGGGATTTGAATTCATTGGGGCCAGACACTGAACCATGTGGGTTGGTCAGCTGATGGAGAATTTCTGGAAGGAATAAGAAGTCTTCTGCAAAACTATGCAACAGTTTATGTCGGTTGTGGTGTTTGTCAGCAAGCTAAGACCAAATTCTTTCCCCACTGCCGGTGGGGGGCAGACTTAAAGGGAAGAACCAGCGAGGCCTCCAAATGCAGGCGGCGAGATCCCCCCTCCGCCTCAGCAGCGGCTCCTCGGAGCGCCCAGAGGAGCAGAGCTTGGCAGCGCGGTTTCCTAGGTGCTCAATAAAGGTGTGCTACCCTGAGCTGGAGGAGGCAGGACCACGCCTTCCTTTCGCTTATGTGTCACCTGACCCCCTGCTGTATTTCTGAGACTCTTACCCTGGAGAGTGTGTGGCTGAATTTGGCAGATGAGCCAGAGATGAGCCCCATCGCTGCCCGTGCACAGACATAACTCCTTCATTTTTGTGCATATCCTGGGGATGGGTGTGGGGCCTGAGGACAGAGATGGCTGCCGGACCTGGAGGAGGGGTCATCACTGTGGGGGTGTATGGGTGGCCTGGCCGGGGGAACGTAGGGTCTTCCCGAATCACAGATTCTCAGCATCAGGAATCTTCCAGGTACGGGCTCAGGTGGGTGGCGGCAAGGCCAAGGCGAGGGTAGAAAAGAAATCCATCAGGTCATTTTACTCCCCAGCCGCTATTTACAACCTCAGGTGTTGCACAGCTGCCAGCCAGTGCTCAGCAGTAACTGAGTGACTTCCTGTGCCAGGCCTCTGCTCCGCCCTGGAGGACAAGGACAGAGCCCCCGTCCGCTGCAGCTCAGGGCTCCCTCCTCGGGAGGCACCCTGAGAGCAGAGAGCCGGTGAGGGGCCCTGGGAGGAGGCCCACGGCTGAGCCTGGGTGGTTACAACTGTGTGTGGCATGCCAGCCCGAGAGACACCTGCCAGCCCGGGGCAGGCAGGCCTGGCACGCGGGGAGCCATAGGGTCAGGAGCCCTCTGTAAGTACTCACCTGTTTGTGGGTTTGTTCATGTAGGCACCTAGATATATAAATATATTTTTAATCCTTACCAGAGGATATGCTTTATTGAGAGGAAGGGAGACAGAGAGAAACATGGATGTGAGAGAGAAACATCGGTCGGTCACCCCATAAGTGCTCTGACCAGGAATCGAACCCATAACCTTTTTGGTGTACATACAAATGCTCTAACCAACTGAGCCAGCCGGCCAGGGCCATAGCTAGATATTAATGAAGGAAGGGAGCACAGGGAAGCAGACGTTATTAAGCATAATATGTTGGGAAGCTGAACTGGACACTGAGCCTGCTTGCTCCACTAGGCGGCCACAGCTTCACACTCCCCCGGGGGACCTCTAATTCCCAAAGGAAGCAGAATGGTTGTTACTGGTCATCACCAAGGGAGGCGTAAAAGCAGCAGGAGAAATTCCCCTGCTGGGCACACGCGCAGCAGAAGCCAAGGTGAGGGTGGATGACGCAGGAGAGGGGCTCCTACTGTGAGGCATGCGCAGTAGGACCCAAGATGACACTTAGAGGCCTGTCAGTCTAGCCTGGGATAAGGATCGGATTGGATAAGGGACACAATCCCAGGACACAATCCTAGGAAATGGATTGGTTAGGGGGAGGATCCCATACAAGCCCAGCAAAGATTGGGAAGTTGACTGGTTAGTTTGAAAGGATGCATGGTCCTTCCCCAAGGCCGAGACAGTATAATCCAAGCTTAACAAGGCGCCCTCTCTTGCTGGGTAACAGAGCTGGCCTGTTGGTTCCTGCGTTCTCTCTCCATAGTAACCATGCGGCCCTAGCCGCCGCTCACTGCAGTAGCAGGATGGCACAAAATCTCTGGACATTGGCCCTATTTCTGGGCCTGAAGAGCAAGGTTGGACTTTTTTATGGCAGACAGACGGAGATGAGACATTGGGATCCCAGGGGCAGTCCTTTGATTTTGCATCTGGCGCCACACTGCATCTTGCACGTCACAACCCCCCATACGCGGGTTTCCAGAATGCTTCCCTTGTGAGTCTGTCAAAGAACCCCATTCCACCGACAAGAGATTGAGGGTGTTTTTTGCAGTTCTTACAATATTATTTAATTTAATGCTGGTCTAGATAAGTGTCATTTTTAAAATAGACATTATCAAAACTAACTTCTGCCTATCGTGGCTAACAAAAGCCACCAGCACAGGAAACGGGAACGTGCACAGGAAAGGGGAAAGGGGCACTTCCGTGATCATCGGAGGGCTTCACGAGCCTTTCTATCGGCGCTACATCTACTCTTCAGAGGCCGTTTGGAAACCTGCTCATTCAGCTCCCTGTGGCACCTCCGTTTCAGACCCTCCCCAGCGGGCTCTGTGGTTTCCTCCATGTTCCGCTCTCCACAGGCCTCACGTATTTCGCAGATGCCCCTTCACTAACTAGTGTCTCAGGCAGTAAGTGTATCCAAGGATTGACTGAAGATTCCAGTGAGAGCATGCCCTCTCCTACAGCAGGACTGTCTTCCCGGGCCCGGGCTCAGGAACCAGAGCAAATAATAAACAGGATGAAATCAACATGATTGCAAAATAGCAAGTGGACTCAGGAAAAACGGTGGTTTGGCCAGAACAAATAGAAAGGCATCGAAAAACAGCTTGTTTTTCCCCTGGTGACAACCATACGCTACCTGCTTGGGATGTTTACCAGAAAATGGATTCAAGACTTACCCACTGTCAAAATAAAATGGGGCCTTTCACCCAGGAACATCTGGTCCCTTGGTCCCCGGGACACAAAGCACAGGCCAGGCCAGGTGAATGGCGGAGGACCTGACAATGCACACTGTGCCTGTGTGGGCGGGACAGGTGCCCTGCAGCTGCAGAACAGGAGCAGGTTGTCCTGAGCAAGTGTCCTGGTGGGCAGCAGCCCACCTCAGTCCCACAGGCACGATCAGCAAGGAGGTGCGATCAGAGCCAACCGTTCCCAGTGTAAAAACAGCTGGACAATGTGGATGAAATGGGCCAGTTTCTAGAAAAATACAATCTTCCAAAACTGAGTCAGAAAAAATCAGAAAACCTGGATAGGCTGATAACAACTGATGAAATTGAGCACACTGCAAACCTACTCCGGGCCGACCACTTCAACCCCACAGACCCTTAAGACCTTCCCCCCTATTTCTTTGAGTTTCCCCCATCAAACTCGTACCCTATCACATTGCCTAGGGGCACCCTTAAGTGCTCCCTGGAGGGTGGGGCCAGCCTGGGCGAGGGGCCATGGTGTTCTGGTCTCTGGTCGTTTTGGTCGTCAGGGCATTATGGTAGCTGGATTTTTATATTTTATATATATAGATAGCATTATTACCTTCTTTGATGTGCAGAAAACCGTAGTTAAGTAGTATGGTGAAGGCCGGGGGTAGGGGGGTGGCTGCTGTGGGGTGGAGCGGGTCAATGGGGGGGAAAGGGGGACATCTCTAATACTTTCAACAATAAAGGTAATTTTTTTTTACCAAAAAAAAGCAAATCCGGTTACTTGTGCTCATTTTCTCATTTGTAAAATAAGGATAATAACAGTTCCTATCTCTTAAAGTTATGGGAGGATTTTTAGTCAACTTTGTTACAGTAACAAATAACACCAAAAATCTCAATGACAAACAGAGCATTTATTTGTCATGTTACATGGGACTGTAGGTGGCTGCAGGTGGGCATATGTATCTCCGCTCCTCATGCCTTCTCTCAGGTCCTACTGGAGGAGCAGCCCCCACTTGGCACACAGTATCCTCAAGGCAGAGGCAAGAAGAGTGGAGGCAGGAACAGTGCTTTAAAGCTTCTCCTGGGACATGATATACTTCATGTCCGCTCGCTCACATGCAGTTGGCCAGTGCTGTTCACACCTAACGTCAGCGTTAGTGGGATGGGCTGTCGTTCCCTAGGAGGCAGTGAAAGTCGCACGGCAATAGGCAGGGATGTAAAATACAAAAAGGGCAGAGTAAATGCTTGGAAACAATCCTATCACAGGAATATGGACTGAGATGCTTCAAACAGTGCCTGGCACACGATAAGCGCCCAGTAAGAATTGACTATAATTATACTAATAAGTAGAAGGCATAAAACCCTGCTTGTTTCCTCTCCCTCTCTTTCTCCTTTTCTTTTCATCTTCCTCCTCCCCACCCCATATCCTTTCTGTTTCTTGCCTTTGTCCATCCTTACCTCCTACTCTGTCCACTCTTGGCTACCTACACACCTTTGTTGCATGACTTTCATCTCGCTCCTTTTCAAAATTCATTTTTCTTTATCTAATTCTCTACTTCTCTGATCTACACATCTGGGCCTTCTGTGGTTGGCCAAACTGTTT